TTGGAGTGGATAAGTTTTATATGGATGAAGAACTCGAGATGAAAGACGTGAGTACATCGATAAACGTCGACTTCCGGGAGATGGATTACGGACTTCATGCCGTGATCAGTATCGTCCACCGTCGATGACAACAGACTTCAAGCTGTGAGCGGGGTTGTCCACTGTTGCCTTTACTCCTACTTCGGGCGGGGTGTTGCTTAAGACTTCCTGATTTCTTGTGCTCTGACAGTTATTGACTGTGTTTCCCTAAATTGCAAGTGTTGCGAGTATAGATGATTGTGTTTTCCTAGATTCTAATCGTTAGGACAAGTCTTGTTAGTATTTGTGATTGGTGTTCCGTGAACTGGCAATTGGACAAGGGTTTTCATAATTCTAATTAGGTGTCCATTTTGCTAGTGTTTTCAAGATGATTTTAGAAGTGTTACTTCGTAGGATTACGTTCCCTGTTGGTTTTGCCCATGGGTTGGGTAATTCCATGACATCATCGACTATCCGTGCGCAAGACACTATTAATTTTTTGTGTTCTTAGTTGGTAGTGGGTAAGTAGGTTGAAACCATTGAATATTTTGTTTCTGTGTTGGTTGGTGGTCTGTTATCTAGCTTGGATTTCGCTAGATTAGGGTTGGTTCATAATGGCGATTTGGAGAAAGGGGTAGATTAGGATTTGAGTCTTGTTAAACTAGGGAACATGAATTTTGTTTTAGGGTTGGGATTGGGATCATAGGTTTCGTAAACTTGGTTGGTGGAGCTTAGGGTTGTTTTGATAATTGTGGTTTGGAGATGGGGGTAGATTAGGATTTGGCTTTTGTTAAATTACGGAACTTGAGTTTTGTTTTAGGGTTGGGATTGGGATCATTGGTTTTCGTAACCTTGTGAGGCTGTGGTGGGGATAGGTTTGGCCGGGAGTGCCTTACTTAGCCCGTTTGACCGCAGCAAATGATGTAAGGGACACCAGGCCCGTTTCCCGGATATATGAATATGAATTGTGTTCTTCTAAAAAAAAAAAAAAACTTGTTAAAAAAGTTTCAAAAGATAATAAAATTGTTTAGGCCCCACAATAAAGTGAAAACAAAAAGTAAAAAGTGAAGAAAAACAAAATAGTGAGTGGGCGAGCACGTTTTGCCACCGCCATCTTTGGCGATTTTTAATTTCTGTACAAAATGAATTCAAAATTCATAGGCATGTACCTCACATCATAAAGAACTCACAGAAAACAATTCAGGAAAAAAAACGTATTTTTAGGCCCCGAAATAATTTTTGGCGGGGCCCAAATGCCTTCGGGTTCAGACCCCGAACGCCCGCACGTACAGAGGTCGGCCCGGGGACCTCCGCACGTACGGGCTGGTGACCCTGTATATACATATATATATCGTCACAAACAGAGAGAGAAGAGGACAACAAACGAGGGGGTGTGACAAACTGTTTCGTCGGAGTTTCACCGACTCATCAGGAGGCTGAACCCTCAACAGTCTGCAGAATCCCCTCACTGAATATATATATATATAGTCAAACAGTGCTGCCCTGTAATATATCTATATATAGTGCGTTAGTGAGAGAAGTAGTGTAGGAGAGTGAGAGTGCGAGAGAGACGGTTACGTTTAATATATATGTTATCCTCTTCTCCCTCTCACAAACAAATGAACCTGGTCATTCTCACGACCAGCTTCGTCGTTTACACAGTCGTGGCTCTTAGCCCCTGACTCGCTGGTTTCCCCTCACACTCTCCTCTCTCACACGCACTCTCTCTCTCTCTCATGATAACACACTCACCCGCTTCCCTCTCTCTCTTTCTCTCTCTGATCCATGATCCACCACCGTTCCACGAGCGGCATTGAGCAGTCATTATTTCCTCTGTATGGCAGATGACGACATGGACTCATCCAGAGCAAGTCTTTAGCTGTTCCAGGATTTGGTCTGCAACAGCTCGCCCTGGTGGTGATGACCTATCAGTACAGTGCTCTGTAGGAGGTTCATACGGTAGTCTATTTCCCTCCTCAGGCTGCTGCGTCTGTTGTTCGACTGGCAAGGATGATGCGTGTGAGTGTGTGAGTGCACTCCAATATTAACATTGCACGTTTCCCTTGGCCGACCCCTTGACTTATACCAATGCTCCTCCCCCCTTTTCCACCAACTTCCACATATGCTCTGCACTTTTTCCTTCCATTTTGGGCCCCCCTTCAACACATCACATAACCTCCACCTGCAATAGTCTGACCTGATGGCCAGCAACCCCATCGCCTGATCCCATAACACTCCCGACAAATGCCCTACCCACCTTCTCCCCCCCCAACCCCCCGAGACCCCTCTGTCACCATCTCCACCTGTTCCCAGCCCAGCGACCTCCTCTCCCATACCAGCCTCCCCTAATGTGTCGCCTAGAACCTCCCCCCGAATGTGCTGCCTCCCCTTCCTCTTCGCCCCCTCCGTCTCCCCAACCTGCACTCTCCTGCTCATCCACATCATCCCTTCAACCTTCCCTGATGCATGACCTTGCCCGCTTCTGCATCGCCCACATCCCCTCCAACCTCTCTCTCCATCTGTTGTGAGAACTTGCCTCCCCCTTCTCTCTATCCCGTCCGTCCCCCTGACCTTCCCCTATGCTCTCCATAGTCCTCTCTTTGTCCCCATTGTTGGCGGAGAGATGGAAGAAGGTACACACTGTGCCAGGGTTATCAACCCCTCACCCCAGAACCCCGCCCAGGGTCCAAGAGTCTGGCCATGAAAACCCTCGCCCCAGGGAAACCACGAACCCCCGTTTCAACGGCCCAGACCTGCCGTTCAGACGGTCAGAAGTATATCGAACTGACCCATTCATCTGGGCAGTCACTTTTTCTGGGTCATCGTTGTGCCAGTGGCAGCCTGTTATTGCTGCTCTCTCTCTCTCTCTCTCTCTCTCTCTCTCTCTCTCTCTCTCTCTCTCTCTCTCTCTCTCTCTCTCTCTCCACCACCAGCAATGCCATTGAAATGGTCAGCACACAGCTAAATGAAATTGGCCTCATGGGAGGCAGTTCGTCACGGCCCACCTCATGGGTGTTTATGTGGCCACAGCACAACGAGGGGGGGAAATGGAGGGATCAGGCCTACCCGCACCCCTCTATTTTCGTTTTGGCCCAGCAAAAGGTGAGCCACCCTACAATATATCGAAGTGCCAATAGGCCCTCGAATGTATCAGAGTCTAAGTGGACACTTCAGGGACACCCAAAGTGAACGTGGAGAACCCCCAAGTTCTCTCCAATACAGTGCCGCCAAAAATCAATGTTGTACCGCATGGAAAATATTGTTGCCGTCGAGTTCAGCCAACAGTATCGGATTGATGTGAAGAATCCATTTCAGTGGATGGCCATGGTCATCCATGTCCTATACGGATCACAACAGCAACCATTCACAGCCATTTTAGAACCCTGCAATCGGCCACGAATCAGAAAATCACGACGCTAGCAATTATTAATAGCACTGAAAAAGATAACAAATAAACATTAATGCTCACAATACAAGCATTTTTACAGTGCAAAAAGACAGTGGAAGAAGACACTCTCTCTCTCTCTCTCTCTCTCTCTCTCTCTCTCTCTCTCTCTCTCTCTCTCT